GTGTGTGGTGTGTGTGTGTGTGTGGTGTGTGTGGTGTGTGTGGTGTGTGTGGTGTGTGTGTGTGTGTGTGTGTGTATGTCCGGTCTGCCCTCCCGAGCTAGCTTCACAAGGGGAAGGAGAATCAAACTCCACACCAGCAGCCCCCAAAGTTGATGTCTGCGAGGCTGATGTCAGACAGGCCTCACCGTGGGCCTTCCTATCAATTCAGACACCAGCTCTCCCTTCTCAGCGCTTTCGCGACTTTTCAGTTGGGCCCCATAATTCAGTGTAGTGAACACAAAACTCACAGGCAATCTTCACCATTGTGGGGCTTATTAAGGACGTTAACAGACTCCAAACACTCAAGATACAAGTGTTCAGGTCCACAGGCAGAGATCTCTCTGATCTTTGCCCTCTTGGCCCATGGCCATTAGCCTGTGCCCTGTGCATGCAGTGTTATAAAACGCCTTTAGGACTGCAAATAAATGCCCAAAGGGCATGCCACTCCACCATGAGCCTTAACCCAAAGACATCTATCTAGCTTTGGCTCTATGGTTCAGCAAACCCAGCTCCCCCAACTAAGCGCCTGGGGCACCCCACTCTACAAGCTGGCTTGCTGCCTGTGGGCACTCAGCTCTGTGGACTGGCAACTCCACTGCTCTGTGCCATGCTCTGGCTTGGTGGTTCTGCAGCTGCCACACCTCTGGCACTCCTCTGGTGTCACAGCTGTTCACCTGGATTAAAGAGCTTCAACGCGCAGAGATCTTGGGGTCCAAAAGACATGCTCCACTCCTAGCACTGCTCTTTATATATATACATATATAATTGGGAGTTAATACACCTATCACATCTATCATACATCTATGTATAACTCTGTGAGGAAGGTAATCAGCCATTCCATAAATGCTAACAAACACCTACTATGTGTCAGTGACTCAGTAGTGAACCAAGAAGATAAAGTCATCATGGAGCTTACACTGGGAAGAGATAGATAATAAATGCACAAAAATGAAGATGTATCGTATCCTAAATGTCAGTAAATGCAATGGATAGAACAAAATGGCATAAGGAGAATTAGGAGTGCGTTCAATCACGTCAAGCAATATTGTACAATGGCTACAACAATCAGTTTCCAAACATTCTTTTCTATCCTGGCTTCCTTGACATCTACTCCCTTTTACCCACCCTACCCACCCCCCAAACCCTTATTCTATTTGCTGTTCCTACAGGCTCATTAGTCTTGGGTTTCATATACCTAAAAACATAACACAGCTTCATGAGGTTGACCCCCAATGACATAAGACCTTTGAGATAAACCCTAATATGAACAAACAATAAAAACCCAAAAATACAGAAAATGTTGGAAAGCAGATCAGATCCAGCCTATGGATGACAGTGGGAGTCCAAGATACGTTTGTGGGAACTATGTGGGAAATAAGCCTCCGGTGACCTCCCTCTCCCTAATTCAGGGATGGGAGGGAAGTGGTCACCAAACAGTGCATTGGAGAGATGGTTATAGAAGATCAAAGGGATAAAACTGACTTGAACAGCTGAAACTTTTCAGTTGATCCCCCTACCACTTTCCCCCCACCTTTTCTTACCTGGATCCATCAGCAAAAGGCTGTTTGGTGGGAGAAGCAAAGCCTATGGGTAAAAGAGCCATGTTAAATCATTCACTGCCAGGCCTCCCTCAGAGCCCAGATACAATTGGCCCATAAACTGTAGCTCCTCTTCCAAAGGCATGGAGGGTCACAGCACACTACCACTAACTCCCTCATCGACATCCCCATCATTTCTAGCCTGGATTGCTGTCACCAAATTCTCACTGGGAGGCCCATTGCTGTTCTTCTCTCTCCCCGCCGGCCCACTCCGGCAGTGCTTCTCAGCATAGGTGTGGTAGTGGTCCTTTCAAATCACAGTCAGGCCACACCTGCTCAGAGATCCTGGCTTTCTCTCTCATTTAGAGGACACACTAGACCCTTCCTGAGACCGACAGTTTTGCCTGCTGTCAGCCTGCATCCTTTCTTGTTCCCTGGGCCTCTCACCCCGGAGTGTGCAAACCTCATTCTTCTCTGGACCTTTGAACTCCCTACCCTCTCTCCTTGGAATGTTTTCATCCTAGATCCTCTTGGTTAGCTTCCATATTGACTGCAAACCTCTGTTCATATGTCTCCATCTCACTGAGCCCTTCCCCAGCCACCTTACGTAAGACAGCAGCGCCTCCTCCTGGGCACTCCTATTTCTCCTTACGCCATTTTGTTTTATCCACGGCACTTATTGACATCTAGGATACTGCACATCTTCATTTTTGCGCGTGTATTATCTTTTTCTTCCCAGTGTCAGCTCCATGATGACTTTATCTACTTGGGTCACTACTGTGTCCCCGACACACAGTAGTTGTTTGCTAACGTTGATGGGATGGCTGCTTATCAGCCTCCCAGAGTTATGCAAAGAGAACACGATGGTGTGTGTAATACGTGAGCTTCTGTACAGATGCTGGGTGGAGCTTCACGACAGTCTGGTAAGCATGCACCCAACCAATACATGTTGGTGCGTACTTTTTCTTATTCTTTGCTGATTCTAGGAGTGACAGTATTCCCTATTGGAATTGGGGATCGGTATGATGCATCCCAGCTGAGGACCTTGGCCGGCCCAGGGGCCAGTTCCAACGTGGTGAAGCTCCAGCGGATTGAAGACCTTCCCACCATGGTTACCCTGAGCAATTCCTTCTACCACAAGCTGTGCTCTGGTGAGTCTCATCAGACCGTCATCTACCCCCACATTCTACAGCCCTTAGGCTACCTGTACACAGGGGTTGGCCGTCCAAGAACTTCAAGTGTCTGCTTATGTAGGGCACATTCTCTGTGTATAATTCTCCTTCCACCTCCTGTCCAACTTTCAGAGAGGAAGCCTCTGGCTAACGGTGCAGAGGAACCTTAAACAGAAGAAGCAGGGATCTCCAGTGTCCTACAGATCATGGTCTGCCCATGGCCTTGTACTCACCCTTGGCTTTAGAAATACAATGGCATATAGAGTCCAATATCAACGTCCCATCGTTTGTGAGTGAAGTTTAGGTTATTTTTTTAACTATAATTTTTTTGGGGCGGGGCTGGAATTATATATTTTCAAATATAATTCGCTTCAGTCAAAATCAAGTACATTGTTGGTTTTCATCTACCCTTTCTTGGTAGAAGATAGCTCTTCTGGTAGGAATCTTCAAGTAGATCTCTTTGAGGTTTTTAAGGTACTGCCTCCTGGCCCAGGAGGCACTGAGGTATCCATGAAGGAAGAAAAGGAGATGTTACCATATTGTCAGTGTTATAAACACAAAGCCAGTTTAAATGCCCCCTGGGATGACCCTCTCTTTGTGCATCTGTGTCCTCACTGCTGAATGCCCTTAAGGTCCCCCCCACCCCCCAAATTATTTTGACTTCCAGAACTCTGCCAGGTAGTCCAAGCAGACGTGAATGGGTTAGAACCCCCGGCTGATGGCTGGGAGCTAAAGTCTTATTTGTGTCTCTTTCAGGGTTCCTTACAGTTTGCATGGATGAGGATGGGAACGAGAAGAGGGTAAGTTCCTTTCTGTTGACTTTGAAAGAGCAGCCACACACGTGTGTTAGGGATCCTTGTTCCCATGGGTCACCTTTTTCCTCCTTTGTTCTCGGTCCAGTTCTCCTTATCATATATCCTGCTTTGGGAGGCTGCTGTCTATTTGTTCTGCATCCTGCCTCATATGCAGTTGTCTTGCCATTTAGGCCTGTATCTAGTTCCTGGCCACTGTGTCCTCAGAGCTGGGCAGTGATCTGAGCGATGTGTTTAGAGGTGGAGTCCCTCAGCCGATTGCTTTCCTGAATCTGTTTCTTTCTTCTGGGCAGCCTGGGGACATCTGGACCTTACCAGACCAGTGCCATACAGTGACCTGCCTGCCAGATGGCCAGACTTTGCTGCAGAGTCACCGGGTGAACTGTGACCGAGGACCGAGGCCTTCATGCCCCAACAACCACTCCCCTGTTAAGGTGGAGGAGACCTGTGGTTGCCGCTGGACCTGCCCTTGTGAGTCCTTTGCTTCATCAACCTGTGCAGTATTAAAGGGGTAGCAGCACCTTTAGGTTTGCTTCACGCAAAGGTAGACCAGAATCCAACCAGCATGAACCACCCTTTTTCTCCTTACTGCGTTTTCCTAGTCCTGTTTTTCCTCCCATGCTCCTTGGGCATGCTTACATGCCGTCTCAGGGATCATCGTCGCCTTCCTCTACCTTGTCCAGATTGCCCACCACCAGAAGGAAGAGTTGACTTCCTGAGGTCAGCGCTCACCTTGGCTGTTGGCCAAGTCAACCTTGGGAAACCTGTGAGCTTGGGGTGTGGCCTTGGAAATACAGCAGTGACAGAGGCACCTCTAACACACTCTCCGTTCACCCCCACGGTAGATGACCACAGTGGTCTGCTGTAAGGGGACATGCTTAACTCCTCTATCTCACGGAAGGAAGCCTGCGGAGAACATTCACTCATGGGGCGGGGCTAGCCCCCGTCTCAGGGAGAAGTCGGTTGATTGTTAAAATTGCTACTTGCTAGTGAATAGACCTTAATCACTAGGGTGAATGGGCAGCAACTTGTGGGATGCAATCATATGCCTCGCTGTCCCTTTTATCCCAGGAGACAAGTTTTCTCCCTGGCCACAGAGAAAGGAGAAAATTCAAGTAGACCTCAAAACATGCCTGCTTATTCACAAACAATTCTCTGGTCACTTTAACTCATAAAGCACAGTCTCAGTGTGGCACTGAGTGCCCACTCCAATATAATAATCAAAACTTTGCATCTGAGTTAGCATCAATACTGACTGTCCCCACCCAACCCCAGATTTGACTCCTTGCTCTCTGGAAAAGCGGAGAAAGGGTGGGTGGTTGAAGGAAGGAGTCAGCTCACGTGACAGCCTGGAACATTGAAGCAGAGTCTACCTGACGCTGCTTCTTTGAGCTGGCGGCACCCTTTGAGGCGCAGGTGTTGAATGCAGCTTCTTTCACGTGCTGCCTCATTTGAGCCTGCTTCAGAGCCGTCCCTGCCATGTTCTCCTGCGGCCCAGCCCTGGGCTGTGAGAAGTAGCTGATCTCCTTTGACTTCTTCCTTTTATCTTACTGAAACAGCTACAGACTTACAAACAAGTTGGGAAAGTAGTACAAAGAATCCACATGTCTTCTGCCACAAAGATCACATCTTTTCTAACCCCTGTGAAAGGATATGCATTGGGAGCTGAGCAGTGATACAGCACGTCTGTCTTGCCATGTATCTCATTGGTGTCTCCTTCCTGGTCGAAAATCTGATTCAGAATCACACCTTCCATTTCATTGCTACATCTTCCTAGGCTTTGTAAATCTAGAACCATTACTTCGACTTTCTTTGATTAGGTAACCTTGACACTTTCGGGGGAAAAAAAAACTGGCCATTAAATTTGTAGCATATCCCTCAATTTGGGTTAACTTCAGGTGATACCTTTTGTAACTCCTTAGAGTGCACGATGAAGAGGCACACGATGGCCAATCTGTCTCATTACTGGTGACGTTAACTTAAGTCTGCTCTTACCAGTTACTGTTTTTCTCTTTGCACATGACTCTCTTGGATATACTTTGGAACTGTGGGAATATTTTAGTTGTCATTATATGTTTGTCCACTGATTTTAACATCCATTGATGACTTTTGTCTGCAATAGTTTTTATGTAAGTATTTGCCATTTAGTGATTTTTGATTTCCATTATTTCCTGTGCATTTCCCACTGGAATTCTACTGAAAGAGATTTCCCTGATCCTTTACCTGTTTATTAATTCAGTTAATTATGTTGAATTCATGGAGTCTCATTTCACTCTATAAGTGGGTATGACCAGTTACTACTGTTGTCCTTCAGTCCATCGAATCGGTCCCACTCAGCAAGCTTATGTACAACAGTAAGAACCCTGCTTGGTCTCGCACCGTCCTCACAAGCGTTGCATTTGAACCCATCATTGCAGCTACTGAGCCAACCCATTGCTTTGCGGGTCTTCTCCCTTTCGTTGACTCTCTGCTTTACCACGTACGATGTCTTTTTCCAGGGACTGGCCTTTCCCGATAAAAATATCCGAAGTATGTGAGGTGATTTCTTGTCATCCTTGTTTCTAAGCATCCCGACTGTACTTCTTCCAATGATCTCCCATCAGAAGAACTCCAGAATTGATTCAATGGCAGTGGGGCTGAGTTTGAATTTGAGTTTGGTGGGCACTGTGGTAGTAGAGAAAGACTCTCTAGTCAAACTTCCTTGGACATTTTTCTGCTAAAGCATTGGCTTTCTCAAATCATTCTCATAATAATCATACTATTGTCCTTTGACCCTCCAGAATGTCAATGAGGAAAATGCTTGGCGCATCCCCCTGCAAAGCTGAAGCCCATCTGCTTTTGCTCTGACTGGATCTTTTTGGCCTCTCAGTAGCCACTGAGTGTGCTGTGTCTTGCAGATCATCCTGATCAAGCCAAGCTTCATCCCTTGAGTTATCTTCTTCTAAGAAATGCTTTAGGATCTTGACCTCACTGGTTTAACATTTATTTCATTGTAAGCTGATCTGGTCACAACAGTTCTGGCATCATTGGGCAGCAATTTTGCTTAATTCTTGAGTCAGAATTGTGTAAGCTGAACCAGTTGAGATGTTTATGGTGTTAGCTATCATTTCTGCTATTAATCGTCAGTGCTCTTCAATGAGGACGTGTACACGATTAATTTTCCCTCACAAACCGATGTGGGCGATCTGCCACTACAGGCTTCATCTTCAGCATCATCTTGCCCCTTCTCAAAACGAGTCACTCCTTTGTAAATTGCTGGTTTCTTTGGGGCACTGTCCCCATAGACTTTTTGAAAAGTATCAGTGATTCGACCATTCTTCCTCCCAAGCTTCCTCATAAAGTTACTGCCTTCAACCAGATTTTGTTCTGACATGGTATATCAAACTGATACAAGGTCATTCGGGCTCACAACCATGGACATTCGGGCATCATTTTCTTCTTGGTGCACATTTTCCATGAATTTTTTTAAGATCCCTTGTGGGGTATTTATAATGTGATTTTAATATCTAATAGAACAACCACCTTTGCATTGCTTTACATTTTCAACGTTTTCCAGACTGCCCCCCTCCCCCAAGTTTGCTTGTCCATTCCCTTATCTTAGCCTTCCTGGATTTTAGGTTCCCATTTAACCATTTTCATGCAGATTGTTTCCTGGCTCTGGCTACCATTTTCACAGCGTGTCAGCATCCCCAGTGTTTCCATTCTGCTTATTCTATCTCCATTGGCCTCACTTCTCTTCCCCTCTTTGCTTTGGGTCAGTGTTGACCATTTGGTTTCTAGAGTTAATTATTTAAGGGGCATCTTACTCATGAGTGATAATGGTTAGTTTAAAATTCCTTCAATCCAGTAGACCAATTTCAGGAGTTATTTCGATCGTTCTGGGAAGGCTCTGTAACAGTGACCCCCTAGGGGCTTTATTATGTCTATGGCTATATATTCAGCACAAATAATCATATATTTATATATGACTATATATAAATTTGTGCCTAGGCGTGATCTACTCATATATGCCTTCCTGTAGACATATATGATCATTCCCTTATACCTATGTAATCACATACATATTGTTCCTTGTTATTGCTGTGTTTCAAAGTTGAATATGCTACAGCATAACAAAGGTGTCCCTTTTGTTGTATTCTTTTTACTGTCTTCATTTACTTGGGTTATGCTTATTGGCCTTCACTTTTGTTTGGTATTGTCCTTACCACCAACCTGAATAGCAAGTGTCTGCTACCTAGAAAACGATTCCCCCTCTGCCTCCTCCCATGTCTGGTCACCTCAAATAGCATACTTTTCTGTGTGTCGATCTATTCTTAAGAGTGGGGCCATGCCATACTTCGTGGTTAACGTATTTCACTCAGTGTCCTGCAGAATCATGCGTGTTATGAGATGTTCTGGGGGCTTCTCATTATTCTTTATAGAATTGGGGTATTTACTTGTTTTCTTACTTAATGGCCCATTTAAAGTTTTTGTTTTCCAGTTTGAAAGGCGCCCTTCAATGTATACTTGTTTGTCTATACAACACAGCGATCTCTCCCTCCTCCCATTTTTCAGTTGTATTCTTCTTTGCACAGCCTATAACACAGCCTATAAGGAGCCCTGGTGATGTAATGATTACACTTCGGGCTGCGGTCTCCAAGGTCTGCAGTTCAAAACCAGCCGCTGCTCTGAGGGAGAGAAATGGGGCTTTCTACTCTTATAAACAGCGTCTCAGACACTCACAGGGGGAGTGCTACCCTGGCCTACAGCATAACTGGGAGTTGGCATTGGCTCGATGGCAGTGAGATTGACTGGTTGGGTTTGTGACATTTGTAAGTTAGTCTTCAATCTTTGTTTTAGTGTTAGAGCTCTCCTAGCCGAAACTGCTCTCCATCAGTTTTGGGCATTTTAAAAAATTTTGGTATTTCTCAGTCATCTCTGAGTTGAAGAAGTTTGCCCTCTAATGAGTATGAGGACTCCCTCAAGGCATTCATAATTAGTGCTGTTTCTCTATAACCTTTGTAGCAGAAGAGCAGCTTGGCTGGTTATAACATTCTTGATGCGTGCCTTCGCTCATTGAGTTTCTGGAAACGCTGCTTCATGTCCCCCTTGCTTTGTTTATTTTAAGAATTCTAATACCAGTCTAATTCTTTTGCCCTTATACATAATTTGATCTATTTGCTTGGCGATATGAAGGAGTCTTTTTTCTTCTTCATCTTTGAAGTCTAATAATTTCACTGTAATATCTTTAAGAGTTAAATTTTCTGATACCTGGCACATGCTTTAAATAGGTAGCACTGGGCGTTTTTCATTTCCGGGAAATGTTCATGGGTTATAATTTCACATATTAGCTTTGCTTTATCATTTTGTTTTTTCTTGTCTTGTGTCTTCATCACTTTTTCTCTGAATCTTTTTTCATGAACTCATTTTCATTCTCTTGGCTGTTTTCTTCCTTTTCTTCAGTGATTCTTAGTACACTTTCAATTTTAGTCTGTTCTCCATAGGACCTTTATCTCTTTATTTTGGAGGCAATTTTGCCTTTTTAATCCATTTTCTAGTGAGTCCACTTTACTCTATTTTTATTTATCACTTTTAGGTCAGGTTATTAGTTTTGGAAATTCTGATTCAGGGTGGTTTTAATTTTCATGAATGTTTACATGGATATATTTCACTTTGGAGTGTTGGCTTCTTTCATAGTTGACTTGGGGAGTGGACTTATCTTTAGCTGACAAGTGTTGATTCTCATTTTCTAATATTTTTGAAGAAACTTTGTATGTTTGCTTCGTTTACTGCATTGCACTTTTTTCATGTGAGGCTTTACAGGATTTCCAGTTCAATGATAAGCTTTTTCATCAGTGTTGCACTGTCTAGTCTTCAGATTTTTGTTTGTTTTTGTTGTGCTGAGGATTTAAATACCTCCTGAGTTTTTATTTTTCTGCCTTTCAGAACATTACTTTTCCCATTTTGCTTCTTCCCCCCCCCCCAATCCCTCCCAACTGCCAAATATATCTTACTATGCAGTTTTGCTGTTTTCTCCCCAAAAGCCATGTCTTTCAAAGAGGATCATTCCACATCGTATGTATTTTAGGCCCCTGCTCTGATACAGCAGGCCACATTTAAAATATTTTACACCTAGTGTGTTAGTCCAGGTTTACTAGAGAAACAAATCCAGAGACACTCATATGCCTGTAAGAGAGAGTTTTCTATCAAAAATTTAATATTAAAAAAATTTAATATTAAGAAAACATCTTGGCTCAGTCCACATCAAGCCCAGAAGTCCAATATTAGCCCAGTTGTCGATACCAGTCTATAAATTCCTCTTCAGACTCACACAACACATGCAAAGATGCTGGATGCAGGAAGATCACAGGCCAGTGGGTGGAAAGTCTTGTGAATCTAGTGGTGGCGGGAGTATCTCAGCACTGGCGTGTGGCTCCTCCAGCTCCAGGGCTCTGTCTCCATCATTGTAGTTCCATCTGGCTTGTCCTCAGGAATGTGAAGCAGAGAGAGTGTGTGTCTCGCCTCCAGGGAGGAAAACAGGAGTTCCCAGAATCCTCCGGAGAAAGCCGTGCCCACACAGAGGCATGATTGACTGTGACTTGATGAGAGGCTAGACTCTACCCCGTGGCTCGAATTGTCAGATTATGCAAGTGCCAGCCCTCACCTGGACTTCTCTTTATGGTAGTGGTTTTAGAGGCATTTTCTACCTGCTGCTGGTTCTGTTATCCGCTTTTTCTGATGGTTTTTCTCAGATTGCTGTTGCTCATGACAAAGGCTAGCTGTATGTGCATGGGAAATTGGTATTTTCTTAAATTTATTTTAAAGTTTGGGGCCTCTAGTTATGTTGGAGTCATGGTTTTTGTGTAGTTTAATTTGTTCTTATCGTTCTCTGTTCTTCTTGGAGCTACATGGGCATGTGGACCTAGAGAGTTGCCATTGGTTACCTGGTCTTTGGTTATTTGGATGCCTTTTTTGAAATTTTGTGTTTTGCTCTAACAGTTCATTTCTGTTTCCGTCGTATTTTGACAATCAGTCAAAACTTTTCTTATAATATTCTGCCTTAGATATTTCTGTTGCTGCTCAAAAATAATGACTGTGAACATGGTAAATAAAAGGTCTGATACGTAATTTCTCTGGTACTTATACCAAGTCTACTTTACTCTGTGCTGACGTACTGTTTTGGTCTCAAGTATTATATTTTAGTGGGGTTGGCCAAATCTCCTTTATATTCGGAACATTGAAATGTATTAATATATGTGATTGACTTAAACTGATCACCAAACTGGACCATGATGTGGTAGTTTGGATGTAATCTGGTTCCATGTCCCAGAGATGAAGCCACTCCAAGGTCTAATATACCTAGGACTCAGAAATCTCCTTGTTACGGCAACCACTGCTTTCTTTGTGTCACTGGCTTGTCCCTAAAACGTGTCGCCCTGTTTGTTGAACACATGTGTGTATCAGACATTTCATCTCCACTGAAATTAAGTCCCACAATAATCTTTTATACCAATGGGCAGTGCAGAAGATTACAGATGTTAAATAATTGGTACAAGTTCATAAAGCAAATGAGAAGTGGAATAGAATTCAATCCTGGGGCTCCCAGGTTTTAAAACACACTTTCTCTCATTCTGATGGGCAGAGCCATTTTTAGTAATGTATCAAATGTGAGTTAAAGCCATTTCCTTGTTTCATGCTCACATTTTATTGACGGTACTCAACAACAACAACAGCAGAAGCAACAGAAATTTGGCAGTGTTCATAGCTGGGATATTTGGGGGCACTTGCAGCACGGATATCAGTAGGCCATGAGCATTTGAAAATTACCCGTGAGCTTTCAGTGACCTTTGATATTATGATTGTGCAAGGGTTTGAGGGATTTTGAGTTGGTGGGATCCTAGGAGGCTGTGGTGCTGTGGGTTGGACTGCTAAACACAAGATTGGTGGTTCAAACCTACCAGCCACTCCAAGGGAGAAAGATGGGGCCGTCTGCTCATGCAAAGATTGGCAGTCTTGGAACCCCTTTATAGGGTTACTTGATTACAGTGGGTTCGTTTCTGTGTTGTTGCAGGAAAGCTGCTTCGTTATGACAAATGGTACATTCACAGCCTTCATTTGTTAGTGGATATGATGCCCTGCAGGCAGAAGCTGCCCAGACCCAGGGGCGAATGAGGGATGTTGTCACAGCCTCACGGTTCCATTGACCCTACCTCTCAGTTCTTGGGCTTTTATTCCCTTACCATAGAGATGTGGTTGTGGTTTGTCCAGAAAGCCCATTTCCACCTTCATTTAGGTCCAAGATTTACTTTCAAGTGGCTCATGGCAGTGGTGTCCTCCAGGTGGGGATTTTTACCAAAACATCTTAGGTAGAAGCAAAATGACTAGTGTTTGCAAAAGGTCTTTTAATAGGAACCTTGAGGATTTGCTGATTCTGGGAAAGAACGAGTGGCAGATGAGGGAGCCCTGAGACTCAGCCATTTGTTTTGCCTCTGGAAATATTTCACTTGTGTGATCTCTTAAGGGATTAAATCAGCATGGCCACTGATATCATTAGTCATTGGCAGCTGAAAGGACCTATATATCTTGAGGTGAACATTCTCTACAATGAGATCATGAGCTAAGGGCTTGCTTAGCTCTTTGTGATTTCAACAAGTCATAGCACCCCTGGAACTGAACTTTGTTGCCTGAGCCAGGGCATCTCCGTAGAGTGGATCATTCTCCTGGGGCATTTAATATTTTTCTGAAATATGGTTCTATACTTTGCTGTGCTTTCATGTGATACATTTTCTTCTAAACTCCGTCCAGGAAAATGTTTAATGGCCAAGTGTGACATATCTAAGCCATTCTACATCTCAAGGTCTGAGTTTCCTAAATCTGTACAATGAGGAAATTGGACTCCATTACCCAAAGTCCCATTTGACTCTAAAAATCTGGGTGCGGCTGGACAACACCTGCCCTTTTGCATATAGATAATGTCACAGGCACCCTTTGCTCTCCCCTGTCTAGGTGTGTGCATGGGGAGCTCGACCCGACATATCGTGACCTTTGATGGGCAAAACTTCAGGCTGACTGGTAGCTGTTCCTATGTCCTATTTCAAAGCCAGGAGCAGGACCTGGAGGTGATCCTTCATAAGGGTGCCTGCAGCCCCGGAGCACAGCAGACATGTATGAAATCCATTGAGGTGAAGCACCGTGGCCTCGCCGTGGAGCTCCACGGTGACATGGAGGTGAGAGGTGGTTTCTGTGGGGCCCATGGCAGGGTAGCTGCCCACCCTCTGCTTTTCGCTGGTGCTCCCCCTGGCGGGGAGCACAACACCTTCTTAGGGGGCCGTTTGTAAGTATCTTCCTTTTCTTGTTGTGATTCCATGTCGTTCTGATCCAAGATTTGGAAGAGAAGGTTAATTTTAAGCGGCACTTAGTCATGGATTTAGTGCCAGTTTCTGGTGCTGGAAGAGCGTTGGGGTTGACCATTAGCGATGTTTACCCACTAGGCTTTGTGAGCTCTCCTTTGAAATTACTTGGGGCCTGAACAAAATGTATGACTCCAAAAGTTGAAAAGAACACTGCAGAATTGATATAAATAAATACTTTGTTAAATGTTGGCAAAACTTTCCATTATGCCATCTTCACTATTTGTTTAATTTAGAAGTCATAACTATTTCATTATGTTTGAAAACACTTTGTTAGATTTTCTCACTTTGCAAACCTTCCAGAAGATGCCCAGCTACTGACAAATCACAGCCCGTTGTCTGTGAGGCAAGTGTTATTTGAGGAGCAAAACAAAAACAAAAATGGCCAAAACTTTAAAAATATGTGTTTATAACAAAATTTCATTTACTGTGGGGCATGATTATTTTCATATGTTTGATAGGCTGTGGGGTGGGGCCTCCAAGTTAGAGCTTCTAGGGACTGAGAAGAAAAGACGCTCAAAATCGATTCTGAAGATAAGCCCCAGTGAAGTGGTCCGATAGCAACTTCATAGCTGTCTCGAAGGGGCTGCTCTGTGGGGAGCACACAGAGCCCAGTGCACTTTAGCACGTCTGACCCCTGTGCATTTTTATCAGAGTCTGCTCTCCAGTCAAGCTCGTTAGCGCTGCTTATAAAACAGGAGCTGTTGACAAATACCTCAGTCTGTGGATCACTCTAGACTCGAGCATGGTTGAACAAGCAGGGACTGTCAGTAACTTCAGGAAGGAACAAACCCTAAAGTTCAAGGATTTCTTATTGTTATGACAACTGATGAGCTCATTTTCTTCTTTGGGCAGGTGACTGTTAATGGGAAACTAGTCTCTGTCCCTTACGTGAGTGGGGACATGGATGTCAGTATTTATGGTGCCATCATGCATGAGATCAGATTCAACCACATTGGCCACATCTTGACGTTCACTCCACAAAACAGTGAATTCCAGTTTCAGCTTAGTCCCAAGACTATTGCTTCAAAGATGCATGGTCTGTGTGGTAAGGTCACTTTCTCCACTCCTTCCTTCCTTCCTGTACTCTGATAACTCTTGTGTGCTTACATTTCTGGGCCATGTGACAAGCACTGTGGTCCCTTGGTGGGGCCGGTGAGTGGCTGGGTCTCTGGCATCAATATGTTCACATCCATGGCTTTCAACATTGGCTTCCCTCGTGTCTTTAGGAACCTGTGATGAGAATGGGGCCAATGACTTCATGCTGAAGGATGGCACTGTCACCGCAGACCAGGGGGCACTCATCCAGGAGTGGACCGTACACCAGCCAGGGCAGGCCTGTCAGCCCATTTCTGAGGGGCAGTGCCCTGTCTCTACCAGCACCCACTGCCAGGTCCTCCTCTCGGCTCTGTTTGCTGAGTGCCACAAAGTTCTTGCTCCAGCGACCTTTTATGCCATGTGCCAGCAGGACAGCTGTCACCAAGAGCAAGTGTGTGAGGTGATTGCTTCCTACGCCCACCTCTGTCGGGCCGGCGGGGTCTGCGTCGACTGGAGGACGGCTGGTTTCTGCGGTAAGTCTCCACGTGCGCCCCTCCAACCCCTCGACCCCAAATAGCTACCGTCTTCTTGAACGCGGTGGGCCTCAGAGTCTTCATTTGAGTCATGGAGATCAACAGCCCTGTAGTTTCTGCTACCTGGGATTCCAGCCAGGTACGCGTCGGGCTGCTCACAGAAGGTTGGTAGTTTGAGCCTGCCAGCTACCCTGCAGGAGAATGCCGAGGCGAGGCGGTCTGTCTCCATCAACCCCGTGGGGCCCTTCTCTTCCCTCTGGTGTCCCTGTGAGTTGGAATCTATGAGACAGCAGTGGATCCGGTTAGAATTCTCGTTCAGTTCAGCTAGATGGGAGATGTGTAAGTAATTGAAACAAAGTTTCTAGGTAAATCCAAGCGTGGTTCTTTTAATTATTTTGGCAGTTGAGACGAATGTGATTTTAATGAGACACATATAGGCAGGGAAACGTAAAACATACCCAGTCCCTATTGAATTTGAAAGCCCACCAAGCATTTAGCAATGGCTTCCCGATAAGGCCAAGGTTGAGCAGGATTTTGAAGAGTGAGTGGAATTTTCTTCCTAAATACCACACACGAGGCTTCATCATTGCAGATACCATCGGATGGGCAGTGTCCTTGTTGCCTCCTCGAGGCGAGCTTTCTGCTTGGGCTCTGTGCTTACTCATCACTTAATCTGGAGGGGATACCAAAATGAATGGTGTATGGATTTTCTTTTCAAAGAGTACTGGGGTAGAAGGAACACCTTAAACTTAACCCCCTCAAGTATCAAATAAAACCCCAGGTATTTATGAAATTAATATGTTTAAGAGCCTTGGCATTCTTAAGAGTTTATTATCATAGAGCTGCTGCAGTTCTAACTTTTAATCAGATCAAATAATCCTTTCATTCAAAAGACACGATCAATTGCGAGGCCCCGGCCATTCAGTCCCAGCTCAGTGGGTGATTGTCCTAGCCTCTGCGGATCGGGTTTCTGCCTCTTACAGTGAGAGAATGAGGCTCGAAGCCCCCCTGGGTTCCTTCCAGCTCCCATTCTCTGTGTCCATGTCAATGACATTGCTTTCTTTTAACATACCTGCTCTCAAGGTACAAATATTTGTTTCTAAGATACTGATCGCATGTCTCTGTTAACTCATTTCTTGGTGGATTCCTGGCTGTCGAATGTGTATACAGAGGAGAACTCTTACTGTTACCAATCCTTTGAGACCTTTTCACCACCTACCTTGGCAATGAAAGAGCCCTGGTGGTGTAGCGGGTTGCATGGTAGGCTGCTAACGGCAAGGTCAGCAGTTCAAAACCACCAGATGCTCGGTGGGCAAGGAGGTGAGGCTCTCTACTCCCGTCAAGCCTGAGGAGTCTCAGAAACCCACTGTCCCATAGGGTTGCTATGAGCCAGTGAGTCAGGTGTTTGGTTCTTGACGGTGGTGATGAAAACGGGAGGAGGGGCTTCAGCAGGGCCAGAGCAGAAGCAGCTCATCCTCTCGTAATTTCTCAAGCTTCTTAACTGTGCATCCCACGTTCCTAATAACAGTATGAGGGCGTTTACTCAAAAGACAATCACAAAAGTCCCTGAGGGCCCTCAAGTTCACGTTAGCATTTGAGGTTAGCCAGTGTAGTATTAAATTAAATATGGGCGCAGAGGAGTGGGGTGCCAGCCCCACCCGCTACTAGCACTCACTGGTTCAGTAATACTACTTCAGGGTTCAGTAATGTACAATTGTACGGTTGAGATATATAAGCGTTATATTAAAGTCATCGAGAGCATGAGAGATAATACAATAATACAGTCAGACATATTACGTGGTAGCATTGCTCACCTCCGCCCCGCTTGGTGGTCCTCGTGGGGGGAACCCGGCTGCCTGAGCAGGAGCCACCTCCCTCGCGGGAGCAGCCCTCTCGTCCACCACCCTCATGGGAGCAGCCCCTCTGAGAACCAGGGAGCCTCCTTGTTTATTGCTAACCACACACCCTATCACTTTAGTGGGATACATCACAGCATCATGCATCCCAGAGAGGGGCAATACAATTCACAACAACCTGCGTCATAGGGAGGGATTGCAACATAGGCAATACAAGCAATAGGAGGGGGATGACCTAGTCATCTTAGAGTGGTCCCGGGTTTGCCTTTGGGCACTGCTTCAAGGGAACAATGTCAGAAGGGAATGGGCCCTATTTGGAGTGAGTCAGACTATCCAGTCTGGCCGCTCTAGATGGCTGATGTTAAGGAGAATAACCTCTGACCTACTTTCGCTGACCACCTATTGTACAGTCATTCTTAAGCAGCTAAGTCTGGTACATATTATTGGGGAGACAGCTTAAGAGAAATCCTTCTGTTCCCCACAAGCCAGTCAGAGGGAGGGGGCTCCCGCTTTTCCCGGCCCTCCAGCCGGGCTTAGCATGCCGCCTTGTGGGTGGTTCTTTCTCACTGTTTGGCCGGAGCTCTCGCTCTCACATCAGTGTTCCGTGTGCCAGGATGGGGAAGGAAGGAGGGGCACAGAGCACACATAACTGTGTTTTCAAAAGGAGTCTCACAAGGTGCCACTGGGTACTAGACTCAGGCTTCCAGTTGATTGGTCACAAGTTAGTCACATGTGGAAGATAGGGAGAGTAGAAATGGATGTCGCTGACCCAGAACGTGTGTCCAAATGGGCGACCGCCCATTAGCCGTGCCTCTGTTTCCCTCTGGCTGGTGTGTGTCACTGCGGTGGCCTCTTTCTCTGTCTGCAGCTCTGTCGTGTCCACACCCCCTGGTGTACAGCCCTTGTGAGCAGGGCTGTCCTCAGCACTGTGAGGGCAACACAAGCGCCTGTGGAGACCGCCCCTCGGAAGGCTGCTTCTGCCCCCCGAGTGAAGTCCTGCTGGAAGGCAGCTGTGTCCCTAAGGAGGCCTGCACCCAGTGTGTCAGCGAGGACGGAGCTCGGCACCAGGTAGGAGCCCTCTCACCTTCCTCCCAGGGCTTCCTTAGGGCCGGTGGGTGAATTGTTCCCCAGTGACTGTCCCCTCGGCCTTGACAGCCGGGATCAACCTTTAGGGGATCATAGGTGGATAGGGAAGCAATGCTATGTGGTGATTTTGGAGTTAGGTGGTGGGTCTTGGTTCAAAGTTAGGGTCTCTCAATGCATTGCGGAATGACCAAATGCCGGAGAGTTGTTTTTGTTGTTGTTAAATGCCACCAAGTCCATTCCAACTCCCAGTGACCCTATGCATGCATGAGATCATGGGTCAGCCTCTCCACCATTCCATTTGAGCAGCCACTGTGTCCAGCCATCTCCTTGACTGGCTTCCTCTTTTTAACTTCCATTCTACTTTTCCAAGCATGATGCCCTTTTCCAGGGACCGGTCTCACCTGATAACATGTCCAAAGTACATGAGACAAAGTCTTGCCAACCTTCCTTCTAAGGAGCATTCTGGCTGTACTTCTTCCAAGACAGATCTGCTTGTTCTTTTGGAAGCCCCTACTATTTTCAGTATTAATTGCCAACACCACGATTCAAATGCATTGCTTCTTCAACACTTTAAAGAGGTCTTGTGTAGTAGATTTGCTCAATGCCATGTGTCGTTTGATCTCTTGATTGCTGCTTCCATGAACATGATTGTGGATCCAAGCTAGGTGAAGTCCTTGACAACTTCAATCTTTCCTCCTTTTATCATATGTTATCTATTGGTCCAGTTCTGAGGTATTTTTTCTTTACATTGAGTTTTAATCCATACTGCAATCTTTGATTTTCATCAGCAAGTGCTACAAGTTCTCATTTTTAGCAAGCAAGGGGGTGTCATCTGCAAGTTATTAATATACCTTTTTCCAATCTTGATGCTAAGTTCTTCTTCATAGAGTCCAGCTTCTTGGATTATTTGCTCAGCATATAGATTGAATAAGTATGAGAAAGGATTTTAAAAAAATCATTTATCACAATCCATCCATCCATCCATTCTGGCAAGCACATTAACCCGACACACACCTTATCTGATTTTAAACTGTGCAGCATTCCCTGTTCTGCTTGACCAACTGCCTCTTGGTCCATGACCAGGTTCCGCATGAGCATAATTAACTATTTTGAAATACCCCATTTTCTCAATGATATATATACATATATGTATATATATGATCCACAGAGTTGAATGCCTTTGCATGGTCAATAAAACATAACATGTTCCTGGTAGTCTCTCCTGTCAGTCCAGATCCATCTGCTGTCAGCAATGATATCCCTCATGCCATGTCCTCTTCTGAATTCACCTTGACTTCTGGCAGCTCCCTTGTTGAATGGTCTTCAGCAAAGGTTTATTTGCATGTCCTATTAAGGATGCTGTTCAGTCATTTTTGTCTTCTGCTCGGTCACTCTTCTTTGGAATAGGTACAAATAGAGATCTCTTCCAATCTATTGGCCAAGTAGACGTCTTCCAAATTTCTCGCCAGAGATGGACGAATACATCCAGCGAGTGCCTCATCAGCTGTTGAAACGTTCCGATTGGAATTCCGTTAGTTCCTAGAGCCTTTTCCTCTTTTTTTATGCTAACAACTTCAGCGCAGTTTGGGCTTTTTTCTTCACTGCCGTCAGTTCTTGCTGCTACGCTATTTCTAATAATGGTTAAGTGTCGACGAGTTCTTTCTGGTACAGCGACTTTGCATGCTCCTTCCATCTCCTTTGGATGCTTCCTGCACCGGTCCATATTTTGCCCATAGGATCTGTTCACATTACAACTGAGGCTTGCGCTTTTCCTTCAGTTCTTTTAGCTCGGTCTGTGCTGCGTGCGTTCTCCCCTCTAGGTTCTCTGACACTAGCCCTGGGCACTTCCCACGATAGTGCCTGACTTTGTCTCCTGGAGCCACCTTTGACACTGTCTGTTCGGCTCTTGTAGTTCCCCATCTCTCTGTGTGATGTCATGTGTGTTCCCCATTCATGTAGTTCCCCATCTCTCTGTGTGATGAAGAACAAGGTCTTCATGTGTGTTCCCCATTCATGTAGTTCCCCATTTCTCTGTGTGATGAAGAGCAAGAGTCTCTCTTCTGGCACATACTCTCGTCTTTTCTTCCTTTCCCATCTTTTAAATGACTCGGCCTTCTTCGTGCACGATGCACTTGATGTCACCCCTTAACTTGTCAAGTCTGTCATTAGCATTCAAGGCGTCAGCTCCATTCTTGCGACATTCTCAAAATTTAGGTGGGATAGGAGGTTATATTTTGGCGCTCGTAGACTTGCCTGACTTTGCTTCAAGCCGGACCTGTTGTTGTTAGGCTCCATCTAGTTGATGGCGACCCTCGGTCCAACAGAGTGTGCCTGGCCCCGTACCATCCTCCCAATTGTTCCTCTGCCCGAGCCCATGGTCGCAGCCACTGTGTCCGTCCATCTCATTGGGGGCCTTCCTCGTTTTCATTGTCCCTCGACTTCACCGGCATGACGTCCTTCTCCAGGGACCGAACTCGCCTGACAACATGTCAAAACTGTGTCAGGTGTCCTCTTGCTATCCTGGCCTCTATTTGTCTGAATTTACATCTGAGCAATTGATGATCGGTTCCACAGTTGGCCCGTGGCTTTGTTTTAGCTGCGGTGACTGGGTTTCTCCACTGTCTCTTCCCACAGATGGAGTCAATTTGACTGCAGCTGTATGGTTGCTCTTTATGTTGTTGAATAAAGATAATTTCAAGTTGTTGGTCTTGCAAAATTTAGCTGTGATAGTAATGAAGCTGGAGATCGCATGATAGAAATGTTCTTACTACATTATTATTATGACTTCTGTTATTTTTCATTGTTTTAATGTAAGCAGAGTACTATAGGAGCCCCTCTCTAAGAGGATGGGGTGATATTTTGGAGCTTGCAGTATATTCACCCATTGCTGTTGGTTTTATTCCAATCCACTGGCATCTCCAGGGGTTCAGAGTAGCGCTGTGTTCCATAGAACTTTCAGAAGTCTACTGCCAGGACTTTGTTCTGAGCTCCCTTGGGATAGACCAGAACCATCGAGTTTCTGGTTAGCAGGTGAGTGATTTAACCATCTGCACCACCCAGGAACTCGGCAAGGAGTGGTCCTGAAATCCGGATCCCGTCTTGCGGGGTCAGATGGGTGGTGGTGAGGGTGGTGAGAAGGGTCTTCGTTCTCTTCCCTGGCATGCTGCCGTGAGAAGTGAGCTCCTTCACCAAGTGTTCCTGGCTCCCCAGAGGGTCTGATGTCTGGAGGGCCTGAGAGCAGGAAGCTGGAGAAGTCTATTTAGCGAGTGGCTCCGGCGTCTCCTCTGCCAACCCAGTGTCCCCTTTCACGACTTCGCTCACACGGTCGGTACAGCATCAGCATTCAAGTCGTACGAAGAATTTAATAAGTGCTTCCAAATAATGTAGTATTTGCTGATGTGGAAGTGGTTACATACATTTAAACCAAGCAATATAAAGGGACTCAGTCATAAGTTTTGAAGAGACCCCATCCTGTTTTTATGATTTCGGGATTTTAAATGGGCGAAAGCAAACATCGTATCCAGCCACCTGCATTTTCCACTTTATTCCTTTCACAGCAACAACGGAATAAAATGATAATCTGCAGAGCATTTCCATGTAAATGAATTTGTTTCTTTTAACTGAGAACTAAGACCTAGAAAATCTTCCTTCAGGGAAATAAAGCAGAGTATAAATCTATTGTGGTAACTTTGGAAGGGCAAAATATTTACCAGTTTCCATAGCTCTTATTTGTTTTACACAGTGCGCGCTAAAGACGTGAGCCTTTGGAGCAGGCTCAGAAGGAATCCAGAGCGGCTTATGCTCTGACCCCCTCTCGGCTTTGATGGTGATGGTGGAGGGGTGGAGGGGGGGGGGGGGAGGGGTGCTCTATGCTGGGCAGGCACTGCTTGGGTTCTGCAAGAACTGAGGCCAGCACCCAGAAACTTGTCAACAGGGGCCTCTCTTTCTTCTCCTGATCTCAGATAATCTTCGGCCAGCTCCAAATCAAAGCTAACAAACAAACAAGCAAACAAACTCCCATTGCCATCAGGTCCGCTCTGACCCTCTGGGACAGACTAGAACTCTCCGTAGGGCTTCCAAGCTGGTAATCTGTTCTAAAGTCAACCACCACAGCTTTCTCCCATAGATTGGCTGATGGAATAAAAGTGCTGACATTTCCTTTAGCAGCCTGGTGCTTTATCACGGCACTGCCAGGACCCCTGTATCATAGCTCCAGAGCAAAACCCCACTGCCATCGACTTGATTTTGATTCACAGCAACCCTATAGAGGGGTTGCAAGACTGTAAATCTTCATGTGAGCAGACAGCCTCATCTTTCTACCTTGGAGTGGCTGGTGGGATTAGAACCACTAATGTTGAGGATAGCAGTCCGGTGCCGACTCATAGCACCACCAGGACTCCTTATGTAGCTTGCGTTCCTTTTCTGAGCTGGACCTTAAAGACTTCAGTTTTCCCCTCACCCTATTCTCAGTAGGCCGTTCTTGTGTCACTTGTATTCAACAATTAACTCCAGTGCTCCAATCAATGGTGGATGCTCTGGGCCTGCAGGGATTTGGCCTGTGGCTGGTGCAGCAGTGCCATCTGCTGGCCTGTTTACTACACAACCTGGCCAGGTCCAGACGGGCAGCCATTGGTGCTTCTCCAGAACCTTGACTGGAAAGAGATTTTCCAGGGTCTTTGGTTGTGTCCTCTTCCTGGGGGGGCTCATTGAAGCTTCCTGGGACAACAATCCCCCTGGAGAAGGATGCTTCGCACCTGCTTTCAGCCATCTCTCCTGGGTGTTGCACTGTCCGGAGATAGATGGGCAGTTGTATCCGTCTGTTCTTGAGTTTAGACAGCTGAGGGAAAACAAACCAAAAAATACCTGAGAAGAAACATATGACCCTCCTGTTTCTCACCCCATCACTTTCTCATTTCAAGATCCATGTATCGATGCATTCTCTGATTTGCCATGGTCTTGGCATCATGGTGGGAGTGTAAAAG